GATCCAAACGCAATAAACTTCTTTTTTTTCTCACACCGAATCACCAATTCATGCAACGTCTCATTTATAAGCGCCAACTTTCATTTCTAAATCAAAAAGCATGCGGTGCAAAAATACACGAATAAAGTGATTATTACAGGGTTAATTGCATGGTTGGTCACTGAGATTACAAAAAACGTTCAAGTTTGGTCACTGGAAATATTTAAATCCATTGGTGGTACTTCACTTTACTGAAACCGTTCACGTTTGGTCACTCTCCGTCCAACTCCGTTAACTTTGACTGATGTGGCAGTCAACTTTCAAAGTTGACCGTTAACTTAGTGACGTGACAATTAAAAAATAATAAATAAAATAAATTTTAATCTATTTTAATGTCCAACCCTTTTTTACCATAAAATAAGTAAATATAATAGAAAAATATTATAATTATTAATTAACAAATTAAAAGAGTCGCCACACCCCTTCCCCGCAATCACTACTTCTCCGCTCTTCCTCCTCAAATTCCCTCCGCCATAAAATTAAAGAACAATGTTTTTACCCTGTCGAATCAAATCCTCCTCCGCGGTAAGTCAATTCATCGAGCGCTTTCTCCGGCGGCGAAGCACTGGCAAGCGACAAACAGTCGGAGGCGTAAGCTTGATCGGAGCAATATCAAACGAACGCGTCGCCATCTCGTTGAAACCGCACTTCCCACCGGATCCCTTACAATTGCGGGAAGCGTCCTCGTAATCCCCACTCTTCTGGCGCCGCCGTCGGCCGCCGGATCCCCTGCTCCGTCTGATTCGCCGGCATCCCCAGTTCCGTCCGATCCGCCGACATCCTAACTATAATCCCGCACGATCTCGACCAACTTCTGACGAAATCCTCGAATTCCCCAAGCAGGTACTCGCTCGGCAGAAATTATCCCCTGGACCGCTGTTGTAATTGAACTGACCGATGCAGGGGCGTAACCAGGATTTCGATCAGGGTGGGTCCACTTTAAAAAAAATATATATGATGAAATAATTTTTGTTAATTTTTTTTAATTATTCATAATATAATTTTATATTTAAAATTTTTTATAAAATAAAATACATTAATAGTCAAAACTATTAAGAATATCACTCTCTCTATATACCTAACATTTATTCATAATTTAGTTATTCGGTCGCTTTCGAATGATGTTATTTGCCAATAATTATTTACTATAGGTTTAATAATGAATCTTATACAAATAATTATTCATGATTTAGTTATTTGTTCGCTTTCGAATTGTGTTCTTTGTCAATAACCATAGTATCAATAACTAGAGTTGTTGGTTGAAGTTCAATAATATATTTTATACCATTTACCAACATACCCCGTTATAAGAAAATCAAATTATGTGGAATTTAAGTTTGCACAAATTCGAATACTATATGTGCTTAATGAATGAGGTCGTCAAAACTAGAACACAAAACCTTTCGATCAACGATTATCAATTAAACCTACTCCAATTTTCCGAATCAATTAATTGTTATACCTAATTTAGTCCTTTTTTTCCCGAGCTAGGGTGGGTCCCGGGACCCACCCATTTGCCCTCTCCCTCCGCCCCTGGACCGATGCTCGGCGAGAGTCGAACGCCGGCGTGCGGCGACGGGCGATAGTAGTAGAGCAGAGCAAATTGAGTGCCCGGCGCAAAATCAAACAAACTCGGATCTAAGGTGGTGTTTCGCGGAGGGTAGCAGAGGAAGGATAGCCAATTCGGAAGTCGCCGCATTCGAACTGCCGGCTGCAGTTTGGATAATCTTGTGCTGTAGCGCTGATCAGGGGCGTAACCAGGATTTCGATCAGGGTGGGTCCACTTTAAAAAAAATATATACGATGAAATAATTTTTGTTAATTTTTTTAATTATTCATAATATAATTTTATATTTAAAATTTTTTATAAAATAAAATACATTAATAGTCAAAACTATTAAGAATATCACTCTCTATATACCTAACATTTATTCATAATTTAGTTATTCGGTCGCTTTCGAATGATGTTATTTGCCAATAATTATTTACTATAGGTTTAATAATGAATCTTATACAAATAATTATTCATGATTTAGTTATTTGTTCGCTTTCGAATTGTGTTCTTTGTCAATAACCATAGTATCAATAACTAGAGTTGTTGGTTGAAGTTCAATAATATATTTTATACCATTTACCAACATACCCCGTTATAAGAAAATCAAATTATGTGGAATTTAAGTTTGCACAAATTCGAATACTATATGTGCTTAATGAATGAGGTCGTCAAAACTAGAACACAAAACCTTTCGATCAACGATTATCAATTAAACCTACTCCAATTTTCCGAATCAATTAATTGTTATACCTAATTTAGTCCTTTTTTCCCGAGCTAGGGTGGGTCCCGGGACCCACCCATTTGCCCTCTCCCTCCGCCCCTGGCGATGATTATGATGATGTCGACGGTGCCGGCAAAACCATTCCCATCCATTTGGCCATTTATGACAATAACCAAAATTACCAACTCTGTATGAAGCAGAGAAGATGGAAAAGGATGAAGCATTGTTAATTGATTTCATCGCAGGAAAAAAACATTGTTCTTCAATTTTATGGCAGAGGGAATTGGAGGAGGACGAGCGGAGAAGAAGTGATTGCGGGGAAGGGATGTGGTGTGGGGCGCCTCTTTTAATTTGGTAATTAATAATTATAATAATAATTATTTTTTTATGGTGAAAATGAGTTGGACATTCAAATAGATTAAATTTTATTTTATTTGATATTTCTTAATTGCTACGTCACTAAGTTAACGGTCAACTTTGAGAGTTGACTGCCACATCAGCCAAAGTTAACAGAGTTGGACGGAGAGTGACCAAACGTGAACGGTTTCAGTAAAGTGAAGTATCACCAATGGATTTAAATATTTCGAGTGACCAAACTTGAACGTTTTTTGTAATCTCAGTGACCAACCATACAATTAACCCGATTATTACACAACCTAATTTGTGCAACAGAACGAGTTCGATTATGTCAAATAATATACAAGAACAATTACTACATTAAGATTATTTAAGATTGTGGGGGAAAATTATTCACGTATACTATTTTCTTGCAACACAAGCAAACACGTAAGATTAAGAAAACATGCAAAGACATATGTAAGCGTCCTAGCCGATAGAATTCACTATCTCTCCTTAAAGAATCTTATTCCCCTCAAGTACCCAAGGTTATGGAATGATTCCTCCCAGGATAGAAAGGACGTACCTTTTCCGGCGTAGCGGTACCTCAAACCCCGGAACCCATCGAACGCAGCGAAATGGCGAGAACCACACTTGACTCTATTTTCTCTTTGAAAAGAATGCAGAATACTAGTTTTGGATTTTAGCAGAGTTTTGATACCGGAAAAAAAACCATATGTTGAAAACCAAAGGGGGTTAGGTGCTATTTATAGAAAATGAAGGGGTGCGTACGAAGGGAGGCGACTCTTCAAATGGGTGGTTACACCCCAACCAACACATTGGTTCACGTTTGAAATAATGAACCATTGCATCGGTTCGGCCCATGGTAGTTGGACCGGTTTGGTTATTCCAACCGCCACATCGATTCGGTTCGATTTGGTTCAACTCGGTTTGGTTTGATCCATTTGGTACACAAAACCAATTAACCTGATTAACCACATATTACATCAAATCGATCGAATTCGAGGCCGTGCCTTCCCACATCTTACCAACATGGTACTTCAACAGACTCTCTTGAAACTTTCCCCTTTTATTTCCATTCACACCACTAAAAATCCCAACAGTATTGGTGCTATAGGTTTTTGCCTTTATGGTACAACTTGAAATTGTACCTTTAACGTTATGGTACAACTTTAGATTGTACCTATACTTTTTGTACAAATTATTTTAAGGTACAACTTAACTTGTACCTTATGTGATGGTACAATTTTAAGTTGTAAAGTTGTACCATAACATAATGATACAAATTTCTTTATGGTACAACCTTAACTTATACATTTAATGTTATGATACAACTTCAAGTTGTACATTAAAACACCAATGTTATATAGCATAGTAGAAGTGCTCGTAAAAAAGATTAGGTTTTTTCAGAGTTGTGGTACATTGTTAATGATGCATATTTTGGTTGCTCAATCAGATATACAACATCGGCGAGCAGGCCCGGCACAGGCATGTGCTTGTTAGTTGTCAGACTCACAGGGCCTAAAGAATTTTAGGGCTTCATCAGCCTATAAGGTTATAACAAATTAGAAGCCTAGCAGTGCTTTTCTCCTCCTTCCCAAGAATTTATAGGCCCAGCGGCTCCTCTTCTCCTCTTTCCCAAGAATTTTGGGGCCTGATCCGGTCATAATAAATTTTGGGGCTTCAAGAATATATACATATATTAAAAAATATATGGAAATTGGAAAAAGCCATGGTCTATTCGTCTTCCTCCTCTGCCCAGCAATGCCTCTAATGAAAATTTATTTTTCAAACAATGATAGATGATATTATTTTTTGTGTAATTATTTTCTAAACTTATATATGTTATTTAATATTTTTGTGGAAAAAAATTTAGGCTCACATTTTTAATTTTTGTACAGGATCTCCGAATATTATAGGTCGGCCTTACCGACAAGATCTATTGTCGAATTCGATCACCATCATTGCTGAATAATAGAATATATATTCTAGCTGAACAATAGAATATATATTCTAGTATGTAGAAGATAAATTTTTTCTTCTTTCCGTTATTACTCTCTTTATCCCAACTCAATATTAGCCTCTCTCTAGTGAAAAAGGGTGCATCCATCATGTGGAAGGAAATTGTTCATTGTTGACATGATTTTTTTCATTTTAGTTTGTGTTCTCAAACAATTCGATTACATATGGTTTCCCTCACTCAAGACTTTATGATTTTTTTTTTTTTCAGAAGTTTATATTTTATGTGAAAAGAGTGCGACAGTAAAGAGGATTCAATTGGCTGGGAAGGATGAATTGGCTAGGAAACCTCCCCGATTTGGTAAACATATGATTGCCAAGGAGTTTGGTCCCCGTGTAAATGAGGCTACGCTTGTCCGCCGCCGCAGGCGCTTCATCTGGACACTGGCGGGGAAGGCTGCTGCTGGCCGTTCGGAGAGTTCCTCTGGTCTACTGGGAGGTCGTTCGTCTGGCCAGAATTCTGCCCAAGTGCGGATGGCAGAACATCTCCAGCTTCTGCAGATTGCGGATGCTGTTCCTGAGGGGCAGTCGGCCAGGTCTGCTTTCTCGCCTCACGCAGGGGACTTGGACATGGTTGATGTTGATGAGCCCCAAGCTAAGCGTGCTCGTCTGATAACTCGAGATGATACTTCGGATTCTTTGGTCGTCACTAGGGTGGAGGCAGCCAGCCCAAACCGGTCCCCAGCTGATAAATGAGCATTCTGATTTGGAATTGTCGGGGTTTGGGGGCTCCCCTGACAATTCCTGCTCTCCGGGAGGTCATTACTCGGGAAGCCCCTTTTCTGGTTTGTTTGAGTGAAACTAGGCGTGATGACGATTTTGTGATTCAGCAATTGGGTTCTCTTGGCTTTGCTGAGGACCGTGTACATAGTGTGTCGAATAATGGTAGTGGCCTTGCTGTTGCTTGGTCCTCTTGTCTAGTGTGTTCCGTTTTTGTTGAGTCGTCGGGTTTCATGTTCCTTGAGTGTGAGCATCAGTCGTTGGGTCGTTTCGCTGTTATCTTTGTACACTTGCATTGTGATGTTGGCCCCCATCAATTTCAGTTAAATGAAATTTCTTTTCTGGTTTCGTCGTATGAGGATCCGGTTTTTGTGATGGGTGACTTCAATTGCCTTCTTTCTAGTTTGGAGAAGTGGGGAGGTAGACCTCCCACTCCTGTAGCGTTGGAACAACTTAATTTGTTTTTAGATGCAGGGGGTCTTCTCGACTTGGGATTTATCGGCCCTCCATTTACTTGGTCCAATAGACAATCTGATGCCGATCATATTCAATCTAGATTGGACCGCTGCCTAGCTAACCACCTTGTCCTTTCTTTGTGGCCAGAAGTGCAGTTACATCATCTCACGGACAGGGGATCTGATCATAGGATGCTTTTGACTCGGTTTGTGAAGCCGGTGGTTCAGCGCGTTCGTCATTTTCATTATGATAACCGATGGGATTTCAACCCTGAGGTCCCTCATATCATTCATAATGCATGGTCTAAACCAGTTGCAGGCACACCTCTCTTTAGAGTTCAATCTAAACTAAAACAAGTGCGACACGAACTTCTTGCTTGGGCCAAAACAGGTACTTCAAATTCTGCCAGGCTAATCCGAGAGACCCGCGAAGCTATTGATGCAGCAAGGGAGGCGGGGGCTGTTAATTGGGCGCTGATTGGCAGTTTGGAGGTACAGCTTTCAGAGGCATACCGACAGGAGGAACTATATTGGATGCAAAAGTCCCGGGTTAGTTGGTTGCATGGAGGTGATGCCAATACTCGTTTTTTTCACTTAGTTACCATGCAACGACGTCGTGCAAATATCATCTCACGTCTACGGGATGAGCACGGCATGGTCCATTCTGATGAACAGCAGAAAGGGGAAGTATCCCTCTCTTACTTTCAGAATATTTTCACCTCTAATGGGCATGCCCCGTTGGAGTTTGTTAGCAATTTGAATATCCCGACTCTGATATCCTCGGACATGAATGTCTTGCTCACTGCACAGGTTACGCGAGCGGAAATCAAACAGGCCTTCTTCAGCATTGGGAAGTATCAAGCCCCGGGATCAGATGGTTTCACGGGTAGCTTCTTTCAACGATTCTGGGACGAAATTGGAGTGGAGGTGTCAGAAGCGATCCTATCTTTCTTTTCTACAGGTCGTTTATTGCATAGTATCAACCATACGTGGCTGGTTCTTACCCCAAAGTTGCTAATCCCGATTCGATGCAACAATTGAGACCTATTGGTCTCTGCCAGGTTATGTATAAAGCTATATCCAAAATCATGTCGAATAGATTGAGTGGAATCCTTCCCCATATCATTAGCCCTTTTCAGAATGGTTTTATCAAGGGTCGTAGTATTTCTGATAATATTCTTATTGGTCAGGAAGTGATGCAGTTTCTCAAAACCAAGGTTCGTGGGCAGGACAAGTGGATGGCCCTTAAACTTGATATGGAAAAAGCGTATGATCGTGTGGAATGGGAGTTCCTGTTCCATGTTATGGAGTCAATGGGGTTCTGTGCTTAGTGGATGAAATGGATTAAGGCGTGCGTAACGACCGTCCGGTTCTCGGTCCTCCTCAATGGCAACGAATACGGATACTTCCAGCCTCAGCGAGGTATCCGTCAAGGTGATCCTCTGTCACCACTTCTTTTTGCCATCTATACGGAAGCTTTTGCAGCAATGATTAGTCAAGCTGTCGCTGCATCTACGCTTCACGATTTAAAACTACACAGGTCTGCTCCTCCCCTTTCTCATCTGTTTTATGCGGATGACTCCTACCTTTTCATACGTGCTTTGATCCCTGAATGTGCTAATCTTCTCCATCTTTTAGCGGAGTATGAATTGTTTAGTGGACAGCGTGTCAATCTCCATAAGTCTGCTATGTGTGGGAGTGCGAATGTTTCAGATCAGGAATTGCATTCGATCAGTTCTTTTCTAGGAGTTGCGATTATGTCTCCTGATGACAGGTACTTGGGACTCCCGGCCCAGCTTCGTCGGTCTAAATCATTGACCTTTCAGTTTATTGAAGAGTATTTGGCTGCACGGATTCGAAGTTGGAAGACCAAGGCATTATCATTAGCGGCAAAGGAAGTGGTTATCAAGTCGGTTGGGGCTGCGGGGCCTATCTATGCTATGTCCGCTTTCAGACTTCCACAAGAAACATGTCGAAGGTGCAACAGTCAGTTGTCCAAGTTTTGGTGGGCTAGTCAGGACAAGGTGACTGGCATGCATTGAGTCTCTTGGTCGGCGCTCTGTCAGAGTAAGTTTGTGGGAGGTCTTGGATTTCGGGATTTTAATCGATTTAATGTTGCTTTGTTAGCTAAGCAGGCTTGGCGTATTCTTTGCAACCCCTCTGGCACTCTTGCCCGGATTTATCAAGCACGATATCATCCCCAACGGCCATTCTTAGAGGCGACGGTAGGCTCCCGTCCCTCATGGGCATGGCAAGGCATCCTGACAGGAAGAGATCTTCTCAGCCGGGGGTTAAGATGGCAGGTGGGAAACGGGTCTCGGATTCATACTTTAACGGATAATTGGCTTCCTTCTTCCCCTCCCTCTACCCCGGTGTTACGACCAGGTCTGAATACTTGTCCTCTCCTCGTCTCAGATCTCATTTGCTCTACCTCTCACTCATGGAAGAAGGATCTCTTACTTTCTCTGTTCACCCTAGAGAGTGTTGATCTCATTTTGTCTATCCCTCTCCCTCTTTCTGTGTCGTCTGATCGTTTGATTTGGCATTATTCATCCTCTGGTCTTTACACTGTTAAGACAGGGTATCATCTTTTGTCTTCTGAGTTCGATCTTCATCATCCGCCGATGGTACTCCCTTTTGATTCTCGGTTTTGGAAATTTCTTTGGAGTATTCCTGTCCCCCCAAAACTTAATTTCTTTTTTTGGCGAGCTGTCCGTGGCTTCTTGCCTCTGCAGATAGTTTTGTTTACTAAAACTCTTGTGACTGACACGACGTGCCCTATATGTTCCGAGGAGCCAGAATCCTTTTCCCATTTTTTCTTTTCATGCAGGGTGGCTCGTGGATTGTGGCAACTGGCGGACCTGGAGGAATTGAGAAATACTCTTGGTGGATTGAATCCTGACGAGGCCTGGCTTCATCTCTTCTTTTCTATGAATTTGTCGAAAATTGAGATAGCTAATGTTGTTTTCCTTCTCTGGCGGATTTGGAAGGGCCGGTGTTGGGCGGTTCATGACGGCATTCAATATCTTCCAGTGGCTCTGTTTCGGCAGTTTCAAGGGCAAGTCGAGGAATGGAAGACCTTAGGGCCAAACTCTTCAACGCGACCATCCGGTGGTCCTGCTCTTACAGCAACAGGGCCCTCACGTGTGCCCAGAGGCACTCATACGACTCCTGGTTCCTCCTCTTCTATCAATGTCTGGTTTGATGGTGCTACCAAGAGTGGCCAAGGAGGTGGTATAGGATTTGTCGGCTTTCATACGACAGGTACTGTTCTGTTTGCCTTTGGAAAATTTTATGATGGGATTCAGGACCCTTTCCTCATGGAATGTTTAGCTCTACGGGATGCTGTGCAGTGGTGTCTAACTCATTCCTTTCTTGCTGTTTGTTTTCATGGGGACTCTCAACTCTTGATCCGTCGGATGATTGGAGGAGATGTACAACATGTTCGGGGTGGCGCTATATTGGAGGACATCCGGAACTTGACATCTTCATTTCACAGTGTTTCCTTCTGCTTTGTGTCCCGTCACTTTAATAGGGCTGCCCATCATGTGGCACAAAAGGCCCTCTCATCGGGAGTTCGACTATTGGTCGACTCCCGCGTTTTTTTGTCTTCCGATTTGTGACTTTTGAATAATACTCTGACTTGGGGAAAAAAAAAAGAGGATTCATATTTGGGAGAAGAAGCTCATCTCATCCCCTCCAATAATGTTGCCATAAGAAATCGAGAATTGCAACTCAACTCTCCCTACCATAATTTTGGAATTTTTTTTGGATAAACACCAATTATTATAAAAACTTTTCTCTATTTTTTATTAATTAAATCTATTGAATTACTAACAATTAGACAAATGTTAACTTTCAATTAGTAATATTGACTTGGCAACATGATACTGACTACTTGGAAGATCCATGAAGGTCAACATTTCAAAATTTTAGTATTTTAATTAGAAAAGAGTTACAAAATTATTAATGATAAAGAAAAAATGGATAATGCTATGATGCATTGTAAAAGATTTGACTAATTATTAGTAATTCAATAAGATTGACAAATAAAAAAGAAATGGGTAAATACCTTATTTTGGCTCGAACTATGACCATATAATCAACATTGACCCATGGTTTCTGAAATTATCATCCTGGCCTAAACTATGCAGCATATAGACTCAATTCTCATGACACATGGTTTGACCGTCAATTTGGACGGTCAAACCGTTGACCACTAGTCAACACGCCATGTCATTGCTTTGTCAGCCTAAAAATCATTAAAAATTTAAATTTAAATTATTTTCCTAATTTCTATTATTTATCATTTCCTAATTTCAAGAGGGCCTTGTCCCTTTAGTCGAGACTCAAGGTCTAGTTAAGGATTCTCCGCATTGTGAATGAAAGTGAAACAGGTTAGAGATCATCAATAATTAATCTGGCTAGTGGCTAGGTGAAATCATACCTAAGTGAGTTCCCAACCTGTAATTAGATTAACTTTAACTGTAGTTTGCTAGAGTAGTTTTAGTTGTTCTATCT